AGTAATCTAATCTAGGTCTACCTCTACCCCTCCTAACTCCCGTTTCTGCCTCTAATATGTCTCTGACTAGACCTTCATGCCTGAGAAGGTGTCCTATCAACCTATCTCGCCTATTTTTTATTGACTTTCATAGAGTCCTCGGTTCTCCTACTCTTTCCAATACCTCTTCATTTGTAACTTTTTCTACCCACGATATCCTCATCGTCCGCCTATAACACCACATTTCGAACGCTTCTAACCTTTTCTTTTCCGCCAATACGCTGTAATGTTCATCAATTGCCTAATGACAATTATTTAAAGAAAATAATATCTTTCTAAAGTTTACTTTCAAACGATTGTACGTTCGAGATTCTTGTTATAAATTGTCGCTGTTGTAAAATATATTATTCTGAGATAAGGAAAGGATAATTTTAAGGCCATCGTATGGATTTTATACTGTCGGTTAGTCGTAGAAATCTTTTTCGCATTTTGCTGCATCACAGCATAAAAATATACTTAGTCTTGAAAAACTCATGTCGTTCAAACTTTCCTCCAGGATAAAAAAGGAATATGGAACAGATTTGCGTATAAAGTACACAAAGAACTTCTAGGCCATTCAATTTAACCTTTAAGTTTAAACGAAAGTTTCCTTGTCAACCGAGTGTAATTTGGGATCGATTTGTTTAAAATTTCTTTTCCTACTACCTGACATATTCTCTTACAGTTTTCCCTTCCTTGCTTTAATACGGGCTGATTTCCCTAAAATTCCTTTTGTATCTCGTATTTCCTCTGCGAATTATCCCTACCCAGGGGCAAAGATATTCCTTTACCCAACATATTCGAATTGTTTATTAGTTTTATCCTTTCCCGACAACAAAATCCAATAATTCATTTTAAATATGTATATGATAACTGTGTTTTGGAAATGCGGTTTTACAAAAATCTTTTGACTTCGTAGATGGACATTACATCACAAAACAAATTAACCAAAAATAGTTCTGTATAAAAAATTGCAAATAATAACGGTAGACATGTTCATCTAGCCGTTGGTTAATGACTAATTCAGACTTTTAGTTTTGGATATCAAAGGGTTTTCTAAAAAATATAATTGTTGTAATTATTCACTTACCAATTGATTCAAATTCCTTTATTAATTTTCGTCATATATGGGAATAGAAACATGCATTTACATAAAAATGTTCCTTTCGTTTTGTTTTAAACCTTTCATCGGTAGTAGTAAAAGCGAGGGTAAGTAAGGGCTGCCTGTAATAATTTTTAATTTTGAATTTTGAAAAATATTGATCTCTTTCCTGATTGCTTACCTTTTCGGTGTGCTGATTGGGAAGATGTACAGTACTAAAATGTAACTGTTTTTTCTAAAATTTAGACAAAACATTTATTTTAGATCCTCACGTTCAGTATTCAGCGAGCTGATGGAATAAACTGTAAATAAAACAAAACTGTTGTACAACTATTTATTTAATAGATTCAATTCTGAAAATATGTTTACAAATTAAACAAATTAGTAATAAATTACATAGACACGTTATCACCCTATTTTTCCTGAAAAATGCATTCATTCATATGCTGAAAACATTCGCTCGTGATAGAGCATCGGATCTGTGGAGGAATTTCAGAAAGAAGCTTAACTCCGGAACGACTTCGCTTCTAAATAAATTTATTAGGTATTTTAGTTGATTTAACAAATTAAATTGTAATAATTAAAAAACTTGAAATAATTAAAAAAAAAATGTCAAAAGTGAGATTATTACAATCTGCTATTTCTATAGCAAATTCAGTTATTTACAATTGAAAATTGTAATTTTTGCGTTGTCATAAAAGTTTTGTTTTCTCCGTGCAGTTTTTTATTTGAAGGTTCTATTCAAATTTAGTTAAAAGTGGTTCAGCAGTTCTTCCTTAACGAATTCAACGGGAACGATTTTTTTAAAAAAGTGTGTACACCCAATCTGTTGTAGGTTTTAGGATGGATTTGTAAGATTTATTTTCTGTTTTCTCTCAAATTGATCCTATTCAAATTTACTCAAACGTGATTAAGCAGCTTTTTCTCGATAAATTAATTAAGCCGAATTGACTGAGTCGGTCTATGTTAATTTTTCCCAAATATTGTTTGTTTTGAAATTACTTTTTGCCCTTTTAATATATTTAGGAATAATTAATAACTGAATGTTGAGAAATATAATTATTTACATAATTCCAACAAGCTGTCGCATAGAAATGGACTTCATTGCCTATAGAGGGATCTAATTTTCCACCCTGATAGGTGGAATATTTTCTTCAAATTTAAATGGGACACCCTTGACATACGGCCTATATTCAATAAAATAGAATCACTACAATCGGGAAGATACAAAAGTCTAAAGTTGATTGAAAAGATAGAAACTAACTTAAAAAACATATTAAAAAAAATAGGAGTTAAGAGGAGTCAATTGCCTGCGTGCTCTACGTGTAAATAAAATGTTTTTTGTGTTCGGTTTTGGTGCAACAAAACGCAACTATCTGCAGCTTTCGTAAACGAGCGAGTACGCCATGCGGCTTGTCTATAAAGATAATTAGATTACTCAAATAAGCCAATTAATTTGTACAGCTTTGTCGCGATATTCGTGGGTGTTGTATTAAATTAGAGCCACCTGCATTCATTACATCCGCGCAGAAGTGTTGTCTGGCCATAAATCACTTTACTCTCTGTTCAACTACATTTGTTCGTTCAAACAATTTCATTGTCAAAATATGCTAATTGCTTTAGTTATCTCGGCATCCAAATGCGGCATAGAGTTCAGTCAAAAATCCTAAACGGAATCCAATACCTAGGCGCGCAGTTATTTATGCATCATTGCCTATCGACCATTACAAAACACGCACGAATATCAGCAAATACACCGAATAGCTACTCAATTTCTTTTTGAATGATGACCAGGTCGGGTAACAACCACGTATTCCCGTAATAATAATAATAATGTAATACGTGGTATTTAATTAATGTTTGAACATATGCATCATAAATGTGCTTTTCTAGCTAATTTTTTTGTGTTTATTGTAACCGATACTTTCAATTTTTGCTAGTTAAACAGTTAAATTTCAATATGTTTGCAACAAAAGAAAAATAATATTGGATAATAACGCTGGATTAAAATCTCAATTTTTGACGAAACAATTTTCTTATTACTAGATTAAAAAAGAGTTCTACATTCTCTTGGAATACTAGAACTAAAGAATTTTCGAAATCCTTATCCTTGTTGTTGTGTAAAATACNTAAATTACTTTAGGTTTAAACTATTTACTTATTTTAATAATTATCTCATATAGTAATTATTCATCTAAACAGATATTGCTGTAAACATTACTGTAATAATAAAATTGCGGGGCAGGTGATTTACTAGGGGGTGAGAATCAAAGTAAGGATGATGAATGAGTGAGGATTTTAATGAAGGAAAGTGGGAATATGTCTGAATGAAATAGGGAGAGAATGAGAGGGTATGTAAGATATTGGGTCCGAATGAAAGAGACAGAGTACACATGAAATGGAGAGGGTGAAGTTATGAATAAAAGTGGGTATGAATGAAGGAGAGGGAAGAGCAAATGGGATCATGAATGAGAGGGTGAAAGAATTAAGAGGCTGCATATGAAAGTGCGCTCTTTCTTTCATACGCACTCTCTTCTACGTGAGACGAATGAAAGAATAAATGTACGTGTGGGAGATTAAATAAAGGAGAGACTGAGAGAATCGGTGTATGAATTAAAGAGGGTGCGTATGAAACTGCTCTATTTCTTAGGCACCCTCTTTAACAAGGGGCGTATGAGAGAGGGAATGTGCGTGTGGTAGTATGAATGAGAGAGAGAGAGAAAGGAAGTATGAATGAAAGAGGGCGCTTATGAAAGTACTCCCTTTCATAAGTACTCTCTTTCACGATGGGTGAATGTGTATGCGCTAGGATGCATGAGAGAGAGAGAGAGAACGAACGAATGAAAGAGGGTGCTTATGAAAGTACTCCCTTTCATAAGCACCCTCTTTCACGAAGGGAGAGGGTAGCCTCTCCATTAGAGGAGGGGATACCCTCTCCGCGAGAGGAGGGGACACCCTCTCCGCGAGAGGAGGGGACACCCTCTCCACGACGAGAGAGGGTGCCCTCTCCACGAGGGGAGGGGTCGCCCTCCCGGGAGGGGAGGGGTGTAGGAGGGGGTGTACAATAAAACAGGATATACCACTGCATACGTTTTTTATTTAACTTAAAAAAAAGACAAAAACAAATTTTTCAGGCCTACCAGGTTTAGTATGAAATATTTTGTGATTCGAAGACCGTCCGGGACAAGGCCCGGATGTTGGAGGACCAGTTTCGAACCTTGAAGTCCCCTAAACACGAAATTTGGAAGTTCCGGGATACTGAGTGTTGGATACTGATGGAAAATTCAAATTTCAAACGTCTTAAAGACCCCTGAAATTCGAATTTTCCGTCAGTTTCCAACCCTCAGAATCTCGGAAATTCCAGATTCCGGGGATTGGAGACATCAGGTTCGAACCTGGACGCTCCCGAACGCACACGAAAAACACTCCCGACCGAAATTATGCGCGACACACGACGTCCCTGGATAATGGAGAAGTCGAGCCTCATGGGTCGCAGCTGCTGTTGGCGCTGATGGTCGTCCTGTAACAATAAAGTTAGTTTATAACTATATTATGTTGTATTTAAAACAAATATTAAAGAAAATATAAACTATTTGAAGTTTTTTAAATGTTGAATTAAAAAAAAGAAAAAATTAAGTATTTACAAATGAAGAAACCAAGCAAAGAATTAATTTTGATTATAAAGTTCCTAATAAACTTAATTCAAAATAAAAGTATTTCTGAAACTTACCTGGTCATATCCTTGGAGAATGGTGAAGGCGCCGGTATATCCCAGTTCCTGGAGGCATTGATGATGCTAAGATGCTAAGAAGATGATATTTAAAACAAATATTATTGAAATTTTTTTCTAAGTTTTCTAAATGTGGTAAAAGTCAAAAAAGAGAAAAAATTAAGTATTTAGAAATGAAAAAACAAGCAAAGAATGAATTTTGTCTTTAAAGTTCCTAATAAACTTAATTTAAAATTAAATAATTTCTCAAACTTACTGGGTTGCATCCTTGGAGAATAATGAAGGACGACGCCTATATATTCCAACTCCTGGAGGCACTGATGGTCGTCCTGTAACAATAATGTTAGTTTATAACTATATTATGTTGTATTTAAAACAAATATTAAAGAAAATATAAACTATTTGAAGTTTTCTAAATGTTGAAGTAAAACATGTGAAAAAATTAAATATTTACAAATGAAAAAGGGAAGCAAAGAATGAATTTTGATTTTAAAGTTTCTAATAAACTTAATTCAAAATAAAATAATTTCTGAAACTTACCTGGTTACATCCTTGGAAAATGGTGAAGGCGCCGGTATATCCCAGTTCCTGGAGACATTGGTGGACGTCCTGTAACAATAAAGTTAGTTTATAACTATATTATGTTGTATTTAAAACAAATATTAAAGAAAATATAAACTATTTGAAGTTTTCTAAATGTTGAAGTGAAACATGTGAAAAAATTAAATATTTACAAATGAAGAAGGGAAGCAAAGAATGAATTTTCATTTTAAAGTTCCTAATAAACTTAATTCAAAATAAAATAATTTCTGAAACTTACCTGGTTACATCCT